TGTAAAGTGCCCTGCGAGGAAGAGATGGCAACATGGCATCAGGGGGGGAAAGACAAGAAAGAGTATATTGAAAAAAACAACAACAAAACAGAGTGGAAAGAAAAAGAAGGAAGAAGGAAGAAGGAGGGAAGAAGGAAGAAAGAAGGAAGAAGGAGGAAGGAAGAAGGAAGAAGAAAAAGAAAAATCTTCAGCAAAAGCAATTAGGTAAAGCAATTCATGAGGTAACCATCCTGCACAGAAGAAGCCAAGAAGAATATGGCCATTAAATCAAGTTCATTTTCAAAAGCAATCTGAAGATCTTTAGACTGCTGCTATACAGGTAGACCTCGCTTAACGACTGCCCTGTTTAGCAACTGTTTGAAGTTACAACAGCACTGAAAAAGTAACTTTATGACCAGTCCTCTCATCTATGGCTGTCACTGCATCCTGCAGTCACATGATCACCATTTGCACACTTCACAACCAGCTTCCAACAAGCAGAATCAACATAGAAACCGGCACTGAAATTGCAAGTCACGGTCATGTGATGTCTTGCTTAACAACCCATGGTGACTTGCTTAACAACCAAATGGGAAGTCTGTAATGCTCATGTGATGTTTCACTTTGTGACCACATCACTTAGCGATGGAGTTGCCAGTCCCAACTGTGGTCACTCAGCGAGGACTATCCGTACTGCAAATGTTGAGGTGAACACATATGTCTTCTGTTATCATGTAAAACAAGCAGTGTGAACATCAGCTATGCTTCCCTCTGGATGAGACTTATATTTGGGATCCCACTACCAAGAAGACCCTGGTCCTGACCCAGGGAAGTCCATGGGGGTCAAAAATGTCAAGATGGTGGCCACAATGATGCAACTGAAGCCCTGCCCCTTTTTTACACATGTAAAAGGAAATTTCAATTGCATGGCTGTGGCCACCAATGTGACCTTTTTTGGCCCTCTCCTTGTGGACATCCCTAAACCACCATCTTTTGAACCACATCAGTTTGGTGGGATGTTAACAGGCCTTCCCAGGTGATCTCCACACATTGGGTGTTAATGAGAAAAGTACTTTTATAACTGATTCTTACCCAACGTAGGGCTCCACAGACTAACACCCGCACCTTAAATAATCAGATCACTAGTGCAAAATGATTGAGTTCACACAATGCTCTACAGTGGAATTGGGCAGTTTGTGGTTCAGCCCTTCTCTGTGCACGTGGTGTGAACCAGGCCATCACAGGAAGCTACCGCAGATTTCATCTGCTCGGTTGTTGCAAAACAACACAGAATAAAGTGGTACCACAGGCAAGGTGGCATTCACGGCCACTTCGCGTCAAGGGCAGGGCAAGGTCAGAGCAGGGAGAGAGGGGCCAGGCCCACAAGTGACGGCCTGCCTCTCCCGCTTGTCTCTTCCCTTCCCTACGCACGATGGGCCTTAGGCTGGCTCTTCCTGATTCGGCACTTTGAAAGTGTCAGCAAAATCAATGCTACATAAATCACCAAGCGTTGGCGGTGAGCGACAGGAAGGTGGGAGTCACGTGGAAAGCACTGAGTGTTAAACTACCTTCGCAGTATTCCCTTGGCCGAAAGTCAACAGCGGAGAATTATAAAGCTGTCAAGCAAATCATCTCCCCTGAAGCACTGTGTGCGGTGACAGGCAAAAGCTTGCCCCACCCCCTCCAAACCTCGGTCCACACCCCCTCCACACCTCAGCCGAGAGATTATTTCCTTGTCAAGCAATCTGCTTGGGAGTCCCCCTCTCTCTCCTGCCCCCTCCTCTTCCACTAAAGGCTCTCCTCCTGAGGAACCCCTTGCAGATGAGGAAAGGGGGGGGCAGCAGTTCTGCAGATGGCGAAGAATGCTTACGTTATAAAGGTATCACAAAATTAGGCTTTAATTTATCAGAGCTGCAGGAAAGAGGCCAAGATGCTACGTTGACCACCAGGAGGCACCTCATGACCACAATTATGTGCCAAATCAGCTGTATTGTTAGGGAGAAGAAGACAGTGGTTCCAATGACAGAAGCTGGTGGGATGGCCAGAGATGCACTTCCTTGACTTCCTCTAAAGTCCATCTCCCAGTCATTTTCCTCTGTTGGTGGATAGTGTTTTGGGTAGACCCCTGTTAGGAGGGTCCACACATCTTAAAGTTGCTGAGGTTGAGAAACACTGATGGGGAATTCTGGGAGTTGAAGTCCACAGTTGAAGGGAGTTAAGTCTAAAGTGCAAAGGTCCATGAATTCAATTCCCAGTAGAGGGTTTGAACCCCATCAAATAACATCTGGCTACCCGCATTTGAAGTCCCAATAAGGACAAAACTGGTCATGTGGTGCATCCTGGTGGTCAATGAAGTGATCTGCATGATGCACTAAGAGTTGGCTTATTTGATAAGTATGTAATGAGATCTCCCATCTGTGGATTGTTTGTGTTTGAAGATACTCCTCTTTCTTACTCAGTCTGTTACGATACCTGGGAAACAAACACAATTGCTGTGTTCATAGTCAGGCTGTGCCAGGATAGGCAAATCACCTTATATCATCATCTGATGGCCTGGTTCACACAGCGTGCTCAGAGAGTAGCAGGGTTACCACCATATGGTGCACCATAACCCAATTTTAGCCTAGTCTAACACAGGGGAACCCAGTTTTCACTGGAATTAGGGGTGCTGCAGAAGAGTTTCTCCATCCTGGGTCCTACTGTATCTCTTTATGGACCTCCAAGTAATGGTGGGGTTCATCTCACCATTCTTCATTTATTCAATCATTGGATTTAAATCAGTGTTTTTCACACTTGGCAACATTAAGATGTGTGGGCTTCAACTCCCAGAATTCCCCAGCCAGGGAACTCTGGGATTTGAAGTCCACACATCTTAAAGTTGCCAAGTGTGAAAAACACTGATTTAGATCAATCCAATAGATTCAAGTTGGCTAATAAAAATGATAAGAAATTAAGGCAAGGTTACATCATCTACAATGTCAATTCAACCTCTTAAAGAAAATCAACATTTTAAGGACAAATAAATAATAAGAATATATAGGTCTCAGTAATTAAGATCTCCCAAGCTTGAATGTTGGTTAACTCCAAGGAGGTAACTATGTGGTTTTCTTGACAACTATGTGGCACTATTTGCCCAGCTTTCTTTTAATATTTTTTTTTCAAGTTTCTAATCTACCCTAAAGCTCAGGGATCCCCTGGTGGTCTTCTATCCCAGGACTACCCAGGACTGACCCTGCTTAGTTTTTGATTCCAGACAAAGTCACAGACATAACTCTTGGAACATATACAATGAAATATGACTGTGTGATCGTAAATTGTATCATTATAGCAAAACCTCAGTTTTATGACCCTCTATTCAATAGACTTCCAATGCCACCGAATTCAGAGTACTGTGCCTGGCAGTCTTCATATGATTCCCATGAATTATGTACATTTTACACATTTATACAAAACAGATGAAATTTATAGAATGATTCATGGAAATCATAAAGATTTATCTACATTACATAATCCTGATCAATGGATATTTGGGCCATAAACCTGAGATTTGATGCAGTGAGATAGAGGAGCGATCGGCCTTCAAAGAGGGAGGAATCTGGTGCTAAAGCCTCAAAACACCAACACAGTCCCATTTTTTCTGCCCTCAACCTTCCCCTTTGGGGTCCAGCCCCTTCTCCCCAGCCTCACCTACCTTGGTGGCTAACAGCCTTGTTAGATAGATTTCGGACACCATCTTGCTCCCTCGGTCCCCCTCTTTCTGGTCACCATGTTCATGGTTCTTCACTAAATGCCACATCTTGACCCCACTTTCTAGGTCAGGCGTAATCATGGGCGTCCGGGAGCGCAAGCTGTCTGGGCTTCCAGTGTAGCGGATCATGTTTTCTGAAAACACAAACATTTGATCTCTACTTTTAAACAAACTGGCTTTGACAGGACTTCTTGGACTAATACACAGATCCAAGAGGGTTGGTCGAAAAAATTCAAGATGGCAACCAGAGCCGCTTGACCAAAGCCCAGCTCCTTTTGAGGTGTAATGCACATTAAAAAGGCAATGCTTCAGCTACACAATTGAAACCACTATCTTCACTTTTTTGACTCCTCAGAACACAGTTACCCTTTGAGTTTCACGCTCGTTCCACATTTCATGATGTGGTTCTCATCTTAATTTTTTTTTTAAACAAAATTTTACTAAAAAGTCACTAAACGCACACATTTTACCTTAAAGGTGTATGAAGATGCGTAGTTAGAGACAAATGTTTAGGTTTTTATTGGAGAATGATGTTAGTATTATGAAGGGGTGTTTTGACTGATGGGAGTGTGTTGGCTTTAATGTCAGTTTTGTAACCTTTGTTTAAAATCTCAAGATCAGCAGATTAGCAGATCTTGATGTAACGGATTTTGGATTTAACGGACAAAGTTTGAGTTCAGACACCATCCCATTTAGCAGGCAAAGTCTTCTAAATCCAAATTCAGCCCAGAAAATTTACATAGTTATTGCTACAGGATATTGGGTAACTACACAAACAACATGAATTCATACAATGGAAAATTGACTTGAATGGACATTCAGATTTAATGAACACCCCTTCTTTCCAAGTGCTCCATGAAAGGGCAATTTTGCAGTTTAGGTTAATATATTTCTAATGGAACCCATAACTACCCTGTGATCTCAGGAAAAGATGCAGCTGCTTTAAAGTTCCTACTTTTGTACCCCGTGCACTGGAAGCATCTTGGAGACCAAATGTGAAGCACTGCACAGCCCTTTTCCAAAACTTCTACCCTTAGAGTGGTCCTTGAAATATTTTAAATACAGATACAAAATAATACCCCCTACAAAGATGGTATACATTATTATGGATAGTAGAACGCTTTGTATTATACATGATTTCCCAATATTTTGGCCATGTTTTATCACATGGGTTATCCTGTAATTCCTGATCTTCAGGGCTGGCCAGATTGTTACTGCCCTCTGAACATCTAACCATCTGGAACACGCTGGAGCGTGTCCTCACTCTGCCTTTTGCCTCTTCTGTTGTCTCATGTGCCGTGATGTGAAACTCTTACCATACTTGCTTGCTGAAGTCCTCGAGACGGTGAAATTGTTGACTGCATTGTAAGCAGTAACTTGCTTGGACACCAGAGCCACCAGAGATCCATCTGGCACCTAGAAAAGGAATGAGCCCTTATCAACATGATTTGGGTGCATGTGTGTGTGCCAAAGACAGCAATGCACTAGGCTTGCCAGTGAGAACATGGGAGCAACATAGAGGTATATCACCTATTATATACAGGTCAGACAGCCACTAAGTGGGACAGACAGAAGACTGGCAGAACACATCCACCAGCATCAAGTGGCGGTCAGAAGATATGATTCCTGATACACACAAACTGAACTACAATTTCAACAGGGAAACTGCTGACATTTTTGACCAAGCCAAATCCAAAAATACTCGGGAATTCTGGGATGCTTGATATTTTGACCAATTAACCATTAATGGACAAACAGAGAGAAAGGTCCCTTCCCTTAGGCAGTGTTGTCCAAACTTGGCCACTTTAAGATGAGTGGACTGGCTGGGGGATTCTTGGGGGTGTAGGCCCTCCCTTTCCAAAACGACACGTTTGGACAACACCATCCTCTGGGAAGGGGCCCTTCTCTCCTCTTTTTCCTTTAT